ACCCCTATCAGACTGGCTAGGATCAAGAGAACAAATGATACCAAATGCTGGTGAGGATGTGGAGAAAGGGGAACTCTCATTCATTGCTGGTGAGATTGCAAACTTGTACAGCCTCTATGGAAAATAGTGTGGAAAACTCTTAAAAAACTAAAAATAAACCTACCATATGACCTGGTTATACCACTCCTTGGCATATACCCAAAGGACTCATCCTATTGTAGAAACACTTGTACAACCATGCTTTTGCTGCTCTTTTCACAGTAGCTAAGAGATGGAAGCAACCTAAGTATCCCTCAACTGATGAGTAGTTAACAAAAATGTGGTATATTTACACAATGAAGTTCTATTCGGCAGTAAAGAAAGATGAAATCATGAAAAATGCAGGTAAATGGATGGATCTAGAAACTTATATTAAGTGAAGTAACACAGACTCAGAAAAACAAATGACATATGTTCTCCCTCATATGTGGCTCCTAGCACCAAATGCTTTTAAATTCCAGGTCCTTTTAATAAGATGATGCTATACAGCAGTCCCTTCTGCATGAAATAACTACTATCATCATGACTTCCACTGAGCCTGATTGCTAAACATAGTCACAATTGGGCTTGTTGATGGTTGTGCTCATTCATTAAAGGAGTCCCAACCAGAAACAGTGCCCCCTCACCTGAGTATCCAGCCACTCTTCCCAGCCAACTAGTCCAGCCTTGGAAGGCAAAAGAAAAATGAGGAAGAACCCAATAGAGGGACGCTTTTGGAAGCCCTCGTCAAGAAACTCCAATGAACTCCCATATAAACATTTGAAAATTGACCTGTTTTGACTTTTTTCTAGTTCCCTGTCTAGAAGTTGTAATGCTAATTACTCTTGCCTTTACTTCTCCTTCACATGTCTTATTCATGAATCAAGGACTTTCTTTTCCCCTTAGAGACAAGAGTTATGCAATTTGGGAGTCTTTTAGATAGATCCATTGAGGGAGTACTCCAATTGCCTCACCCTGTGTCCCTGTTCAACATGGAAGAAGCCAGAGTGGTCTGCGTCCCTATTCCCTATTGGCAATTTGGGTAACCCCTTCGGAGGATGGCATGTAGCCAGTTTCTTGGCTAAAAGTCAAAATGTCCTTGGGTCTGTTAGCAAGATATTCTGTTCCAAAGGCCAAAAATGTCAAAAGTATTTGGGAGCTTGTATCTAATCCTTAAAAGATTTTAGAGTTACCTCCTCAGAGGGGACAATGTTGGAGGGGAGGGAGGGGGCATGGATTTGATCAAAATACCTTATACGCATGTACTAAATTCTCAATAAGTTTTTGTAAAAAAAAATTTTAATGCTTCTTAGTCATCTTTATTTCTTCTTTTGAGAATTCTCTGTTCAGCTCTTTAGCCCATCTTTTAATTGGGTTCTTTCCATTCTTGATTGTTTTTTGAGTTCCTTATATATTAAACCTTTGTCAGATGTGTTGCTGGTAAAGATTTTCTCCCATTCTGTGGGTTTTCTCTTCACTTCCCTGATTGCCTCCTTTGATGTACAGAAGCTTTTTAGTTTAATGAGGTCGCATTTGTTGATTCTCGACCTTGTTTCCTGAGCAACTGATGTCCAGTTTAGAAAATCCTTTCCTACCCCTGTATCTTGTAGGTTATTACCACTGTTTTCATCTAACATTTTCAGAGTTTCAGGCTTCACATTGAGGTCTTTGATCCATTTGTAATTGACTTTTGTGAAAGGTGAAAGATAGGGGTTTAGTTTCATTGTTCTACAGGTGAAGATCCAGTTTTGCCAGCACCATTTTCTGAACATGCTGTCTTTCCTCCAGTGAATGTTCTTGGCCCCTTTGTCAAATATCAGGTGGCTGAAATTCCATGTATTCATATTTGGGTCTTCAATTTTGTTCCATTGATCTATGGGTCTATTTTGTGCCAGTACCATGTTGTTTTTATTAGTATAGCTCTGTAGTAAAATTTAAAATCTGGTATAGTAAGCCCCCCAGCATTGCTCTTAGTGCTCATTTTTGCTTTGGCTGTCTGAGGTCTTTTGTGCTTCCATATGAATCTTAGGATTTTTTTTTCCAATTCTATTAAAAATGTCATGGGGATTTTGATTGGCATTGTATTGAATCTTTAAATGACTTTTGGTAGGATGGTCATTTTCACAATATTAATTCTTCCAATCCATGAGCATGGGAGGTCCTTCCATCTTCTGATGTCTTCCTCAATTTCTTCCTTTAAAGAGTTAAAATTTTCCTTGTAGAGCTCTTTAATGTCTTTGGTCAGGTTTATTCTGAGATTTTTTTTTGCAGCTATTATGAAGGGGAGTGTTTCCATATACTCTTCTCTGATTGCTTGTTATTGGTATATAGAAAGGCTACAGACTTTTGTAGATTTAATTTTGTAACCTGCCGCTTTACTGAACATGTTAATAATTTCCACGAGTTTTCTGGTGGAATTTTTGGCATCTCTTAGATATAATATCATATCATCTGCAAAAAGTGATAATTTGATCTCTTCTAATTATTACTCCTTCAATTTCCTTCTCTTGTCTTATTGCTCTTGCAAGAGTTCCAAGCTCTATGTTAAAGAGGAGTGGAGATAGTGGACAGCCTTGTCTGCTTACTGGTTTGCTTCCCTGGCCCATGCTTACCTTGCTTTCTTATGCAACATAGGCCCACCTGCCCGGGGGTGGCACTATCCATAGTGGGCTGGACCCTGCCACATCACTCAACAATCAACAAAATGCTCCAAAGACATGGCCACAGGCCAGTCCAATGGAGGCAATTCCCTAATTGAGGTTCCGTCAACCTAGGTGTGTCTAGTTGACACTAAAGCTATCCAGCACATGGTCTGAATGTTTGTATACCTCAAAATTCATATGCTGAAACCTATTTACCACTTAGGCAGTGGAGCTTTGGGGAGATGCTTAGGATTAGTGTGCGTATGAAACAGACTTCAGGGAGCTGCCTTGCTCCTTCCTGATATGAGGACACAGAGGTGGGATCTATGAACCAAGAAGTAGGCCTTCACCAGTCACTGAAACTGCTGGTGCTGTCATCTTAGATTTCGCAGCTTACAGAACTGTAAGAAATAAGTTTCTATTGGGTTTAAGCTACCCTGTCTGTGTTTGTATACCATCCCAAATGAACCAAGACATGTTTTTAGTCTTTAGATTTTATTTTTCTTAATTTATTTGTATTGGAGATTTTTGAGACAGGGTCTTCATGTAGCCCCAGCTGGCCTGAAACTTATTGTGTAGACCAGGCTGGCTTCAATCTCACAGAGATCAGCCTCCTGAGTGCTGGAATTAAAGGCATGTACCACCTTGCCCAACCAGTATTCAAATTTTAAATTATCATATTTTCAAGCTCAGAAATTCTTTCTTTAGCCATATCTAGTCTACTAATGGTCATCAAAGTCCTTCTGCTCATTACAGTGTGTTTGATGCTAGTATTTCTTTCTTCCTTGCAGTTTTCAAGTCTGCTTATATTATTATCATCTGTTCTTGCATGCTGTTTACCGTCACCAACAACCTTGCTGTATCTACGTTTGTTCTATTATGTCTCTGTGTCCTCAAACTGGTCTTCACCATTTATTATTGCTTATAACTTTTCTTAAAGTCCAGACATGATTTATCTAGATTATGATGACCTCTAGTAAGTGGGTCTTCATTTGTGCAGAGGAGAGGAGAAAGCACATTCTCTAATTCTATGATTAACTTTGTCTCTTTTATTTTTTCGATACAGATTGTCATGTAGCCCAGGCTGTGAATCACCTTGAAGTTCTGATCCTCCTGTTTCCACCTCCTGAGTGCAGGAATTATGGGCATGTGCTACTAAGTGTTGGTTTTATGTTTTATGTGGAGCCAGGGATCCAACCCAAGGCTTCTTGCATGTTAGGCAAGCACTCTACCATCTGAGATACATGCCCAGCCCCATATCTCAGTCTTTTGCTAACCCTGTACCCATGGAGTGTGAACTTTGCCAGTGCATCTCTGTTCTTTCCATACACTTAGATGAAAATGGGTGACTGGAGGGTTCTAGCTACCTTTTTCTAGGCCATGTGTGCTCTTTTTAAAAGCCTAAGAGGTTAGGTTCTTGTAAAATAGTTTTTCCTGAGGATGGACCTTAAGAACAGAATGCTCTGGCATCTCAAATTTCAAATTTTTGTTCCTTTACCCCTCTGAAACAGAAGGGGATATTTCTTTGATATTCACTGTGAGGACCTGGTAGAGCTTTTAGAGGTAAAACTTGTAAAAATGTACCTCCATATTTGGAATTTTTAGCTCACAGATTTATCCATACTCGGCCTCGAATAATTCATTAATTACAATTTAAGCTGTTCTACCCTGGCACTGGTTCCCATGGAGGATATGGCTTATAGGTTTCTTGTTCTATAAACTGTGATTTGCTCTATTCACTGTATTTTCAGTCTGGGGGAAGCGGTTTGCCTCGTAACCTCGTGGCTCTGATGACTGTCAAAAGAGCTGTTGGTTTTCAGTTTGTTCAGCTTTTTACTTGCTGTTAAGGGGCAGTAGAGATTTCTAAGGTATTTTTACATTGGACCAGAAAGTGGAAATGTTATGGCTTAGTTCATACATTTACTTTTCTTCTGTAAGACTGGTTAATGCTACATTCTTTAAAAACCTTTTTTAGCAAAATTATCATGTAGTCAGTTTTCAGTTCAAAGCAATTAGTTTTATATTTGATTATTACAGTGCTCTTATCACTTGCTGCATTTCAAATTAAAGTAATGGATGTTACTTGGAAATAGTTACATTTGGGATGAAGAATATGAACCACAATGCAGGCATTTATGTGTTGGCATCCAGGTTCATTTATGAAAACAAGTTTTTGTGCTTTTGAGTATGTCTTTTACTACCATGAACAAGTCAGACTTAAAATTCCTTATCAAGGAGCTTTTTATACACATTAGTTTAAAATGCTAAGTTTTCATAGCTCTCAGATGTGTCACAAAAGAACCTAGGCATCTGGTTTAACATTTTCCATTGGTTATTTAGCCTTAGTATCACAGACAGAAGCTTTGAAGGAAGAAAATGACAGCCTCCGTTGGCAGCTAGATGCCTATCGGAATGAGGTAGAACTGCTCAAGCAAGAACAAGGCAAAGCTCACCGGGAAGATGACCCAAACAAAGAACAGCAGCTGAAACTCCTGCAACAAGCCCTCCAAGGAATGCAACAGGTACAGGCATGTTGCTTTTCTCTGCTTTATGGAAGGATAGTATCGTTACTTGCCAATGGGCATGCTGCAAGCCAATAGAATGTCAAACCTGTTATTCTTGTGGATGTTTTAGGCTCTGGCACAGATGAGGTAGAGAGATGGCTCAGTGGTTAAGAGCACGTCCTCCTCTTCCAGAGGACCCGAGTTGAATTCCTAGCAACCACGACTGGCAGTTCACAACCACTTGTAAACCCAGCTCCTGGGAGATTTGACACCTTTGACTTCCACAAGTGTTTGCTCTAGCATGCACCTACCCATATGCACACACACACACACACACACACACACACACACACACACACACACATAATTAAAAATAAAAATCTAAAAAAGTGCTTTAGCCATGGATCACCAATTTTCAGAGGACTACTGAATATGAAAGGCTTGTCATTTCAAGCTGAACTATTCACAGTATAATTTTTCTTTCTGCTTCAGAACTTACTTCAAGATATAGATAGGTCTTGGGGTCTTTATGAAGAATATTAATAGCTTAGATATGATAAAAGTGCTGAACCATAAGTGTTTACTTGATAAAAATGACAAAATACAATCTTTGAGAAGAAAAAAACAAAATGTCTACCCTTGATTTTCATAGAAGTAGAGACTGTATAACATTAATGTTTTGGGATTGCGATATCAGTTTAGTTTTTATTTTGTTTTTATGGTAATTTATGTGAATGAGTGTATCTGCTCATAATTCCAAGTGTAAAAAGTAGAGCAGGAAGCTGGAGAAATGGGTCAGCAACTAAGAGTATTTGCTGCTCTTATACCCTTATACAGGGACCAAAATTTTGCTCCCAACACTCACATCAAGTTGCTTCCAACTTCCTGGAATACCAACTCCAGGGTGAACCCAGAGCCTCTTCTGGCACATGCACAAACATGGCATGCACTCACCCAGATACATCATATGCATCCACATAAGTAATAAAAAAATAAAATGAGTGCTAAACACTCATTAAAATGAAAAGGTAAATTAGACAATTACATTGAGATAAAACCTTGTGGATAATAAGTGATCAATATCTACAACTCTGATGTAGCCATCACCACAGTGAACCTACAGTATAAAAGATATCAATACCTTCTTTCACTGTCGGGAAGGACCAGTGCCTCTGAGAAAGGATCCTGTCATATTCTGTCATGACAGACTGCCACCAGTTTTCTTTACGTTTTATATTATACAATAATTTGAACTCTATGTCTTGAAATTATCTAGGGAAAAACTAATTGCTGGTTGGAAATTATAAATCATGAACAGGGAGGCTCTTCTGGCACTAGCAGCCCTGTGTTATTACCTGTGCCACCATTGTCTTCCTGTGTGACAAGTACTATCACGTTTTCCCATTAGCAAAATGTGTGAAGTAATGCTTACCTTCCTTTTCTTGTCACCACAGAGTTTAATTAGAACACATAAATTATATAAGAGATTTTTCTACTAAAATTGTGTCCTCTCAGCTAACCTTCAAAAGACTTTGACAGCATGCAGTGCACCTTGCTTTTTAGCTTATAGTCTTTTGCAAATCTGTGAAAATAAATAATACTTTGGAAACACTTTTATTGTTTCTCTCTCCTTATGCTGATTTTGAAACCACTGCACACAAGGACAGTTATGTCACTTAAATGCAGAGATCTCATTGGGAGTTAGGTTTCTAGCTCCTAAAAATTAATTTCATTCATTTTGATTTTTCAACTGTAAGCAATGAAAACTAGAACTGTAAGCAGTGAAAGGAATTCTCCCATTTATCTCAAAAGATGTGTAATACAATGTGGATTAAGAGCAAAGACTATCAGGCTGCCCTGGCCGGATTTTAAATCTAACTCAGCTACTTCCTACATGAATCGTCTTAGGAAAGGCTGCTGACTTTGTATGAATGTCAGAAATAACATTATTATAGGGTTATTATGAAATTTAATGATTTCATATTAGTGAATCCCATCACACAATACTTATTAGGCACTCAATAAATAGCATTTGTTACAAGTATTAATAACAATAAGTCTAGTTCCTTGCTTACTGATATGGAAACTAATATATGTGAAATTTGTCTTCATTATTACTTTTCCTATACACATCCAACTTGGCTTGGCAAATGACTATTTACAAGAATGCTTTACAACGTTTAGTTCATGTCTCTGCAACAATCGAGATACAACTCAGACAGTATTAACTGCAGCTTACCTTTATCTATGGCCAGGGCAGAGAAGATGTTAAATAACCATATCTGTTAACTTCACTGGTCTTTTCTAAAATATAAAGAAGTTCAGAGGAAATTTATAAGAACTAAGTAAGTGAAAAAGTATCTTGATTTTTTTTCCTGAGGTACTTCTTCTCTGCATACAAAAAGTATTATTTAGGCTGTGGGGTCAAGCAGGTCTAGCAGACATCTAACTTCAGTCAAGGACTGTACATGAAATACAGCTCCTAAATTAGTGACTTGATTTTTTTTTTAACCTTTCTTGAAGCATCTGCTCAAGGTCCAAGATGAATACAAAAGGAAAGAAGCTGAACTTGAAAAAATCAAAGATGACAAGTTACAGGTGGAAAAAATGCTGGAAACTCTTAAAGAACAGGTACATAAGTCCCACATGAATCTTTTCTGTTATCTCTTTCCCCCCTTTTCAGTGACAATAAAAATGTCCTAAAAGTTTGTGTAATAAAAATCAATGTAACATATTGCTGGTTGGGAATTAAAAGCCCCTTTCTGTGATAATTCTTGTTTCAAGAGCTCTGCTTTCAAATATGAGTGCTTAGCATTTCTAAAGAAAGGTTCTGGTGTATTTGCTTTTCAGCGAACAAAAACTCAGTCCAACCCTCAAGTTCTTCCGTCTTCCCTGTTGAAAGACCATAGTGCATACTTCCTCCTCGCTTCATCCTCTCAGGCTAATAGCAACATGGAAAATCCACGTGAGACACAAGTACCTTGAACTGAGCATTTCATTAAAGCGGAAATGCAACTGGGACATTGTCATTTCTTACAGCCACTCCATCTACATTATCATGAGAGTAATAGCTGAGGCCAAGCCAGCCATGTTGAGCAGGAGAATCAGGAGTCCAAAGTCATCCTTGGCTATATAGAGAGTTTGGGTTCAACCTTGGGTAGAAGATACCCTGTCAAAAAAGAAAGAAAGGAAAGGAAGGAAGGAAGGAAGGAAGGAAGGAAGGAAGGAAGGAAGGAAGGAAGGAAGGAGGGAGGGAGG